TTTGTATTTGTAGTCAGCCAGGGGGGAATCACCGGACAATCAACTGCGATATTTACAATACTGTAACAGCGACCCAAATAAATCAGTAAACAAGTTTATACACGTAAATACAGAATGTGATTCAATAATCTGCCACAGACTGCTTGGCAATCATCGATTCTCCGGTGTCTCTTCTCTGCGTCGAGTCACGATGTATCGGGGTATATCTAGATTTCCATCGACCCATTAGAAGTATACGTGTGTTCAATGCGTTATATACTCTGCCAACAACCCATGATGGACATACACAACATTATGTTTACTACTAGTGACAATAACAAAATAGGTAAAAAAATAAAATAATAGTTTATTATTAACTGTATATATTTTGCTATTTGTAGCTGTGTTTAGCAAACTTGATTTCTACATGTTAAAAAATGAATAATGTGGTACAATTTTGCTGTGCATAAACCACTGTACATGTCTGATAATTCTCCCGAACGAGTCTCGTCAGAGTGTAGTAATTCAATAACTAAGTTCCCATCGATATGATGGTGTTATTATTACGATAGTGGCGTATACACACGTTGGTAATAACACGTGCTGTGAACAGACAGATAATGAACTGGCTCCGTGCCTCGCCTTGAATTCGATAAATGAACAATGTCAGGGCTTTTTTTACACTTTTTCCCAAGGCGTCTGAAGACGTCTGTAAGTTATAAGTTGTAAGGAACGATTATTTCTTCAAGTTGTCGGGTAATATTAGTCAACGCTCTGTTTTAGATTTCCCCAAACCACGGTTACTAAAAGAGTGCCAAAACCTTGAAGCAAATATTTTCTAAAAATGCTATTAATGTTTGGCCTAATTTTATGACGTCACTCACGTACACCTAGACGTTATAGAAGAAAATTGTTTGAGTTTATCACGTGATCATCAGCTTAAACTATCCATCGGTACTAGTAATTTTTATCATCTACATTCGTGGTGTCCGGGTCTCTTAACTTGATTACGCACGGGAGCTGTGTACAGAATATAATCCGATACTGCTCATTGATAGACAACACATAGTGCTTATAGTTGTGCTATAATAGTTGACAGTGAGACTGGAGTCCGGAAATTCTACTATTACGCCACAGCCACCTTCGACTTAGTCAAGTAACTCTACTTACGCCACACTGTCACATTGACACAGTACTGAAATCAACGTGAAACGCGAGACTGGTGCCCAGGTTATATATACTTTTTTTTCTTGAAATTGCTCGTTATGTATTTTATTTTATTTTTCAACATGAAATTCCCACATATACAGACACACTAGAATACAGCTACATGTGTACAGCTCTCTGTAAATGTTCAGATATTGCAGCACACGTTTTATTTATTTAATTTAACCTAGTAATTTAAGTAGAGTTGACATTTAAATTTTCTTCAAATTAAAGAAGTCTCTCTTCTCCGCGTAAAATAGCTAGCCTGATATAAAACGCAAAGTGTGCTTCTATGTGGAAATCATCCGATTGTAATAAAAGTCAAACAAATAATTGTATTATGGTTCAAATTACGGTTGAATCAAGTCACAATTACATTGCGACTGCCTGGGTTTTACTCTGCATTAGCGAAATACAGGTCACTGATGTCTCGCGAGGTTACCCATGTCATGCCTATTACCACGTGGTCTACGGTCTGATGCAGTATATTGGTAAAACTATACTGCTAACGGTTATTTATTGACTCAGAGTCTTTCTTCATTTATTTATTTATTATCTGTTTATTACAATTATTATTCCATCGTAACAACCACAGATATATGCTTACATATTATTACAGAGTATATTTCAAATTGTTGTTCCTGACAACTTACATGCCAAATACTGCAGCTGAAATCTATAACAAAATAGTTCTTACTAAGTTCCGCTAGCTCAATCATTGAATTTCCATTCAACACAATTCAGGAAATTCGCTTTAAAAAACCACACATACATATATATATTTATGCGAATATTCGCCTTAATCACATGCAACATTTAACCCTAGGCTACAAGTCGCTAGACGATTGCACCAAGTTCTTAAAATACCCATAACAAGACATAGGCTACGTTTTAAAGGCGAATAAATAAGGTAAGTCTGCCTCACCGCCTTTGCCCGTCGTCACTTTATCTAAAGTTACCTACGACGGCGTTGTAATTGAATTAGTCGGGAAATGAACTATATATCATTCCAGTGTCGATTTCATCGGTGTACGAGAGCGTCTGTGGCAACAACACGCTGTAGACTTGACGGGAACATCCACGCATCATCACAACGTTAACGTTAAGGGGCCATATCGACGCCTCATTCATGCACAACGTCGAAAAGGTATGTGATTACAAAAGATTATAGAGCATCCACACGGGAAACTAAAGTTGGCAAACGATAACCTCCAAAAGCCTGTCCTAATCTCTAAAAATGACTCTCAGAACAGAATCGCGAACATCATAGTGCTGACGCGGTGTACTCAACGGAGGGGGAGTATCACAGACTCGTTGTACGACACTCATCCATAGTGTCTTTCAACAATTAGTCTTACCTATTATTCGCGGTTGAAAGAGATTTATATTACGAGAGATATGTGAACTGTAATATATTGTCAGACTCACGTACATTAAAACACATTTCGTTTTTTATTGTGAAATTGTTGATAAAAAAAGATGAATGTTCACTTAGTGTAAAGAAATTTAAAATGCGTGATGTCTTTTTGTGAGACGTGGCCGCTCCAGGTTCTATTACACTACATCGCTGTAACATAAACTAATAGCTCGCAAATTACACAACACGATGATAAGTGTATTTCTCACTCATACCACGTCATATATTTGTTTGTGTTTCTATATTTAAAAAACGTCCCGATTTGACACAGCGTCCTTCAACGTTTCCTCAAACAAACTTTTGAAAATGCATATTATCCGTGGTGGTGCTTGCATATGAACTATATACGTTAATTGGATATTATTTAGGCACAGAGCTCACCACTAACATCAAATAATTGGGAACGATATTGTTCATCTTCAAGCCACGCTATAGTGTGAGAGCAGTTTATTTGATTAGATTGAGTCTTCGTTGATGACCAATACGGCATTGAGAACTGCAGAGGATGTGGGCAAGGGGTAGCTGGTACAGGTTACACAAAATAAAGATGGCATTTTACGTTTTTACACGAAATCAAATGTAAGTTCCATTCACAGTGAAAAAAATAGGTTTTTAGACTTTACAGAAAAGCAAATTCCTAATTTCATTTTCATAATATATTTGATAATTTGTGTTTAAGAATCAAAATTGGAAATTGAGTACGAATTACAACATTTAATGTGGAAAAAGAAAAATAAACTTACAAAAGGGATCTTTATATAAATTACGGACGAACAAAATATCAGATTACATTTCACACATTGCCCATATCTACCAATTTACGTTTTTTATATTTATTTAAATTACACCATTACAAAAATAAGAACAATTGATAACAGCTTACAAAAATATCCCTTGTCGACCCTCTGCAGACGTACAGTTTAATAGGTGGATGCAGAGTTTCACCTGCAATGGGTCATTTAGGAAATTCACATATTTAGGCCAACTTTAAAAATTAATAGTCTTTGACACATTTGATAAAACAACGCGCCGGATACGTTACGATGCCGCCGCATGGTGTTATTGTATTATGAAATAACAAGGGACTGCAAGTAACTTTACGTGTTGTTGTTTTTGTTACTACTACTGCTTTTATGTTATAATTGTGGTAGCTACCGAGTTTGTTTCATACACTGGGCAATTGTTACCCCTATTCTGGCCGATAGTTTTGTCTGGGAAAGAGGCTTTTCACTTTTCACATGATTCTTTTTACATTTGAGAAGAGAATTGAAAACACGGAATATGACTACTTACAAGATAGCGGTGGACATCCAGATAGAATGGTTTCCATGTCAACATGGGGATGTCCAGAATAGGGCGAAGTGCAGTGGTAACAGTACATCATTGCGTCACTACGAAGAACTACTTAGATTCTCGGAATTGATAGAGTCAGTGAGATTGGTGGCTAGATCGGTCTGCGCTGAACTGAATTTCACGACAACTACCTTATGAATACAGTACTCGCAATTGAACAATCTATCCTAGACGGAATTGTCCTAATATCAGTCTTCCTTTGAGCACGATTGACGCTATGTGTAGTATGGGATATTCCTTGAATCGTATCGACTCGCTGCACTGTGCTTCGTAATGTGTCAGCAGTCAGTACGGTACTATTATATGTGTACGCCGCCGCTGTAGTTACGTTTGGCAGCCAGTGTACGTCGCTGTATTCCACAGTCGTCACAAGGCTGTGTTCTCTTATCGACCTCTCGCCGCTATTTCAACACTTTCCACCCTGTACAAACAGAGATAATAAAATAAAGACATCATTTCGAGTTTCCTTTGCAATGATTCACCGTAGAGCTTGGGGACATCCCACGTGTTCGCAAGGGCATGGCTGGAGCGTCAGAAATTAGCTAGGGCAAGCGTTCTCAATCGCATGACTTATTACCAGTCAACAGCTATAAATTCTTATGATTTAACTATTGATAAATTGATTTCAGTGTACCTAGAGTATAATGAAACATCATTACAGAAATATTATTCATATTATCCCTAATAAAAATGATATTTTATGAGTTATTCTAACATCTGCTGGGATAACTGATGCGACGAGTGTGTTACGGGTTAAAGCGTATTTGACCTCAGATCGAAGCTACATTTTGAGATTCGCAATGCATAGAGTGATACACTCGCAGTTTTCCCTGTATTTTTTGCAGTCATCGCATAGCGGAGCTGTATTCACCATTTCCGTGATATTAAACAGTTTGTTTTACGAGAAAAAATAAAAGATTATGCCTAATTCAGGAGTTTCAACTGGAACTGGTTAATAATATTAGTATACTATTACGGGCCCGCTGCTAGTCTTGTCGTTTTAGGCAATAAGAATATTGAAAATACGTGTATAATTTCTATTCTATTCTACGTTGTTGATTTTCTAGACATTTACCGCACCCCTTTATCTTTTACCACTTCGTATCACAGAGCCAGGTTTGATTCGACTGGTTATTGTCCTCGGTCGCCGCCACGAGACGCACTTCATAGTTTTACAAACACAATCTATCCATAAGTATGATACTTGTGTACCTTAGATATTACCCCCCTCCCTCAGTTACTTGTTTACATTCTGTGTTGAATATGTTAACGTGTGTATATATTTAGTTACGGTAACGCTTTGCTCACAATCAAAACATATTATCAAAACACATTTGTTATACCCACCCCATGCACCCAAGTGGAAACCGTACAATGATAGCTGACGCACACATCGTTTTTCACAATTACCAAATCTAGTTGAGTAACGTCGCCTGGGAAAAGAGGCTGTGCCCGGGGAGCCGCTGTATTAATTACTAATGAAATTTAATGCAATCCTCAGCCAAGCGAAGCAGGGTACTATTATGGGTCCTCAAACGCAGGAATCACTAGGAGCGCCAACGTTCCCCTGATAGTTAGCAACGAAACGACTGGATGATCAGAGAGACGGCGAGAGAGAAGTCAGAACATTCACTGCCGCCTCCGTTACGGTTAGGTGTTCTAGTCGGCGTGTGGATGCGACCTCCGTGGCGTGGTGCACTTATTCGCCGCTGACTGATTCTGCTTGGCTCCCCATAGCAACAAATGTGCCGATAATTTGTTCCGTCAGTGCACTGTTCGCCACACAACAGCAATTTTATCTATTCAAGCATAATAACGCCGTATAATTTATCATGTATGCTTAGGTAATCAAGAGGTAGAGAATTCAGTGAGCGCCCAAGGAGACATGCTTAGTTCAACTACAGAATGGTGTCCCAACCGTACTCCTCCATTTCACGTTATCATTTCATTTTAAATTGTCAATGTTATAATTTTAGTAGCATCACATGAATTGCGTTGCGGTTTGAAGTTGGTTTGTGTTAAAAATATCTAATGTAGATATATTAAACACAGACGATTTTGTTGAATACACGTGCCTTACTGTTAACGTAACTCCTTGGTACACCATTGAATGCAGTTACTCTAAATTCGAAATTAGTAACAGATATATACTCACAAGCAACCGAAAGTTATTGACTGACAGACATAAATTTCCCACCAATATTAAAATCTGAAAATATTATTATATTGCACAATGTTTGAAACTTAAAAAAATAATTCATGGAACGCTTATTAAAACAAATCTATAAAGTTGACAAAGCAACAAGTTTACCACTTTGTTAAAATTAAAGTAAAAAACCGAAGCGTCTTCAAGAAGTACGATTGGATAGTTGACAATGGCGTACCATTCAATACTGATACCCAACATATTGTACGACGATAAGATTAGCTGATGAAAGATGCACGGCAAGATCCGTCAAAATGTCATAAAAATACAAGTAATTAAGGAAAAATATCGATTTATGGATGCAGTAATATAACTACTTAGCATCAATTATTATCGCATTATTTCACAACACGCAAAATCAACCCGAAACGCCTAGTCGTAGTATTAATGATTAAAATAATCAATAAATGTTATTTGGTTTGAATTTATAAAATGCAAAATACTCACTCGTAAAGAAAACCCGTTAAATAACAGAAAGATTTTATAGTGTTACGGAATTAAGAAACATTGAAGTCCAGAACCAGAGTGTTTTCTTGATATCGCTGCCACACGTTAAGATCAAAAGCTCGTCTCCTCATTTCAGTAGCCGGCGGTGCTGCTGATTTTTCATCCTCTCTCTGCGTTCTCTTTCTAAACCTTTCTTATTTTGCCGTCACGGCGTCCCATTAAAAAGTAAGCTGCCGCTGCTTCTTCATCGAATCACAGATATCGGTGAGGAATTGCGTTATTCAATGGGTAGCCCACTCAGGCACGTTTCCGTCCAATCGCTGGCGCACATGCCCGTCGGACACCGAGCATTAATAGACCTGACAAAACTAGGTGATTGTTGGATGAACACACATCCCAATTACTCACCACACGTAATTATATTAGTGCATGATACAGTTTTCATTATGATTTCATTTGGATGGCAGTGCATAATGCCATCACACCTTCATAAAGGCCCCTTGCTTGCGGTGGATTTAAAAAACGCCCTCGGAAAGAACTTCAATTCTTAATGACAACTGAACCAATACCTAATCTTATTAGGTATCAGCAGGCCCCTCAGTGGAGTTACGAGTTTGCACAATTTTTTTTTCAAATTGATTTGATTCCGGAAAGCCACTCGGATTCACGGAAAAAAATATCGCAATCGCATTCATTATTTTACTTAACGTTGTTATTTGATATAACTAACGGGATATACCAGAGTTTTACGTGGCGGGGAGTGCATATTGAACACACATTGTAGGAAATGTACTAGTTCTAGTGCTATTGTCTTTCCAATTTCCACATACAATTAACGTTACTTCATTAATGTGTCGACAACCCAACTGGCGCAATGATGTGTACGCTTTTATCACAGACAGAGCAAATGAAAATGGATAATAGATAGGCGCCCTCACCGGAGAGAGATGCTCAACATTATGCTGCATGGCTTGTCTGTGATTCGCTGGGGCGTCTCTTACAAACAGAAAATAGAACGCATCTTTTAGAGTTGGTTACAATGTTCGATATCAGCGTTGACGTAAATCTGTCCATGTCGCATAGAAAGTAGTTGCACGAATCAAATAAATATACGTTATTTAAGACAAATATTAAGAATTACTCATAGTTAACACTATTTTCCGTTTAATGGCTCTCATAACTCTACCTGCCTTATAATGTAAAGTCAACCCGAACTACGGCAACCACGACTAATGACGTAGCAGTTCTTAGATATGACTTTTTCCGAGTCAATCCATAGATCCCGACATGGTTCCCAAAGTTTTTTGTTGTTTTCTTCATTCAAACATTCTCTGTTGCTGTACTATGTATTTAAACGGCGAGAAAACAGCACAAACTCAACTATGAAACAAACCCGAACAACCAAATTACTATATATGTAGCATAGAGAGGGGTAATCTTGTTATGCTGTTCAGGAGAGCCTCAACAACTACCCCCAAAGTACAGTATTTCGACAGTTTTCGACTGCTGTTGTGGTTGGAAATGCGGTGCGGTGAAAATGCCCGGATGTTCGCTCGTGAAAATAGTACATTTTGATAGATCGATTACGTATATCGCGTCCAATAGTGTACCCAAGCAGGGTGAATGATTTTACCGCAGTCAGCTGGCGTACAGGTGGTAATTGATAAATGCGACTAATTCACCGAGAATTACTATATGAGATCTTAATACTTAATAAAGTTTGGGTAACGGCCACCAGATCTGTGCGAACTTAAAAACCATTGGACGTGCTACAATGTCAATTGACAAGATACGATGTCTATTCAGTATGTGCAATAACCACTCATACTTGACTGGCTTTTATCACAGATATTGGACACCAGTAAGCAATGCTAGCTAGGTTGTTCTTGATTGGTCTAACGTTATAGCGAGGGCGAGTCGCATGCGACTCACGTGACATGTGAGTGATAGTATATGAGTGAAATGTGAGTGACATGCGGGAATGTCAGTGATATCCAATCAATTTCAATTTATCACGTGATATTGACGTTGATCTGAAATGGAGTAACACTCTCCTTCTAGGACAGCGTGTAACTACCTCTGCGATAGCTTAATATACACCCAAATACCCCTTTATACGGGAATAATTTATGTTTATGCATCAAGATTTAGTACAAGTTGCGATCTCGTCAAACTACACTCGCCATTACGTTAAACTTGATCAATTATAATAAGTGGATAAATGTAAAAATAACTGTATGGATGTACTGTGAGTGTGATCTACCCCCCCCCCCCATTTCTGTAAAACAAAATCGTATATCAGCAAATACTCGCACGCTGTAATTTTCAGGTGGGTATAATTCCATAAGTTTACCTGGCATATAAACAGCATTTCGTGA